ATTGTACGTCATGTAGATTAGCCATGTTTTGTAGCTATACTCAGGGATTTATTTAGGGGGCAGAGGGGCCTAGCCCCCTTGATACACTCTAAGACCCTTTGGAGTTCCAACCCGTTTAATGCACAGGGTTTGTCCCTCCTCTTGTTCACATTTTGCTCCCCTTGGACCAATAATTTCTAAACGAAGGCCTGGCACTTATAACCACAATGCAAAAGCTTCAGTGTTTGAGAGTCCCTTTAAACTATATAGAGGGCCCAGCTAAGGTCCCATCTGTTAAAACTATAGAGAGAGAGAGGCAACACAGGATGAGGAGTCCTCCTAGTACCTGCTAAACCTTGGAGGGTTTATCCCACTCATCCTCAGAATCTGTGTCTGACAGGTTCTCATCTTCGTCGCAATAGTCCACCCTTGCCTCCCCCTCGTTGTCAGACGAGGAAGACGAGGAGGGAGGAGGGTTAATCTTGAGTCCGTCGTTCTCCACCTCCTGGTTCACCTCCGACAGTACCACGTGGACCTGGGGAGGGTGGAGAGAAAAGTAGGGGATGCTGAGAAAGAAATGGGTACTCACGGCGCGAATTTAATGGTTGCCACGTCGCTAAATGAAACTGAAAATTATAGTTGATGTACTTTAGCTCTCCGGTCGCCAAAGTTGGTGGTTAGCGTTTGCGTCCATTGTGCGCTCACGACAAATCTGAGGACGTGGCCACACACGCTTCTGGGCTTGTAACTGTGTTGTTCCTGGCTGTTACTAAAGGACTAGATATGCTCCTCTTCACTTTCTACAATATCTTGTGAACTGCGCAATCACGAGGCATATGGGATGGCAGGGTATAAAACGTGCGTGTTGGGACCGCAGTAGGAGTGTGAATATCATGGAGGAGTGCAGACCTGGAAACTTCCTGGGAAGTGTCTCTTGTCTTTGTTGGCCTTGTCCAGCTCGTGTTGGGGCAGGATGATGACCTTGCAGTCCGGCCCCACATCGTAGCCCGGAGTGAGTCCTCCGTTGGAGGAGGAGGAAACTCCCGAGGCTCTGGCGGCCGCTCTGGAGTCTCTCATCACCATATGTTGGGAGGTCCCTGTCGCGTGACCTGCGGGGAGAGAGAGGGAGGGATAGAGAGCTTGGTTAAGATGAAGTAGAAAAAAGTATACTAGTACATAGTCTCTGCTTGTTGGACGTTTCTTTCCCCATCGACTGAAAAACGGGAGGGAGAAGGAAGCTTTACTGTAGCTGCACATGTACAGTAATATCCAGACCCAACCCTCACATACACACACACACACACACACACATGTGAATTAAAACATGTACCTCTGAGAGATTCTCTTTCTCTTTCCTTCTCTTTCTTTGTTCTGTGATGATGAACCTCAGCTCTCACTTCTCTCTCCGCTCTGGTGGTAAGTGGGTAATGTAGTACACATGTAAAGCAGGAAGGGGAATTAGTAATGTAATAGGTAAGGCATGTTGTACTAAGCGGTGGTTTGGATAGCTGTAATCCAGTGAGGGAGTTAGGGGGAGAAGGTCTAATGTGTGGGGAACATGCAACTTTCAGTGATCGACAGACTTTAAAAATTGACTGTCTTAGGCAGTGCAGTAGTTTTCCGCAAAATTTTCAAATCTGCCCAAATCCCGAAATGGATCTGCCACAAAGTATTGGGCTATACTGCAGTAGAAGTAAAAAAACCGTAAAAATTGCCCGCCGTTCAAAATTTAAACAGTGAACATCTTTGCAAAAGAAATTACAGGCTATTACTGTAAGACACACACACAAAATTATGCAAGGCCTATGATTTGTCAAATTACAGGATGTAGTAAATTTCTCTAATTGTTATAGCGACCTGTGTTCATCGGCAGCCCAGGCTTGTTGCTGGGCAATGTGCATGTCGATGAAGAACGTGTTGAACCAGAAATGGAGCATTTTCTCCTGCAAACCGGGGAGACAGCATTTCTCAAACGAAACACTAAATGTCTATCAATTACGTACAGTGGGGCATGTGTATCAGTACCTTTCTATAGGTCCTAGTATTGTGGAAGAGCTCTATCTTGATGTCCCCACAGAGCGGGACAGGCTGAGGGAGAGTGAGGTCGACAATGGTGTCCGTCTTTCTCAGGTTCTCGTAGACTTTCGATGTGTGAATTCTTACGTTGTTGAACCGAACTACAAACGATGGGACTGAGGGAAGAAACAAAAGTCACATGACCAGAGTGTTTGGTCACATGACCAGAACATTTGGTCACATGCACAGTGACTAGTGAGGTCACTAGACTCGTACCCAGACCCCACCCCCAGGAGAGGAAAAACTATTGAGGGATTTCTTGGTTGTGCTGATTCGACAGTCTTAACGTTTGATACACCGAATCAGATCGCAGTATTTTCCACCAGCGACCTGAGATTATCCAAGTAATTGCAATTTCCTTGAATTTCGGGCACATAGAAAATACGGCCATTTCAGTGTACTATGATGAAAAGCCACATGTCACCGACCTGGGGTGGGGTACAAGAATGTAGTGTCACATGACTCGCAGTTAGGTCACATGACTACATAGATAGTCACACGACAAGAGAGCGAGGTCACGTGACTCACCACAGGTGCCAACCTGCATCATGGGCATCCCCTGCAGTCGTAGAGCTTTCAGTAGGACAGTTCTTGGGGAGTACTCCAGACTGTTGCGAATGAGATGACCGTAGTACTGGACCCACCGTCTCTGGCTGGGGATTGTAACCCCCTGGGAATAGGGAGGGGAGAAAGAAAAGCAGTGTAATTTGGAGAGGAAAAGAGGAGTTTCATTGTAATTTTATGCCGTCAGCTCTCTGCGTCTTGCAAATCAGAGAGCTGAAAGTCAAAAATCATGGTGAATCCGGACACCAGAAAGAATTTTTGAGTGAGGTGTAATCTTTCAGTGGTTTCATAAAATGCACGCAGAACTGTCCTTATTAGAGAGGTGTCGTCCTTATTTTAAGGGTGTCCTTATTAGAGAGGTGTCCTCATTTTAGGGGTGTCCTTATTAGAGAGGTGTCCTCATTTTATGGGTGTCCTTATTAGAGAGGTGTCCTCATTTTAGGGGTGTCCTTATTAGAGAGGCGGCCTCATTTTAGGGGTGTTCTTACTAGAGAGGTGTCCTCATTTCAGGGGTGTCCTTATTAGAGAGGTGTCCTCATTTCAGGGGTGTTCTTACTAGAGAGGTGCTGGCTATGAGAAAAGAGTTGGAAGTTGGAAAGTGGGGCTGTGGAGTGTAGAGCAAACCTTGGCATTTTGGGTCCTAGCCTCGCCATAGAAAGCGAGGGCCTCTTTGGAGGTGTCAAAGAGTCTGTCGTGGAGGAGGTATGAACAGATCATTACACCTGTTCTTCCCTGCAGAGAGATGACAGACAGACAGACATACAACTGGTCAGGAAGACAGTCAGCACTAGATGATTTGCTGCAGACCTTTTCAAGTACAAAAGTGAGAAGGGAGAGGGAGGAGAGAGTGGGGAGGAGGGGAGGAAGAGGGTGAGAGATGGAATACAAGAGATAAGAGAGAGGGGGGAAGAGAGAGGGGGAAGAGAGAGGGGGGGAACTGGGAGACGGACCTTTCCGGCCTTGCAGTGAACTACAGCTACGTTTCTGTCGTCGTCTTTCAGCCACAAGTCCATGTCGTCACAGAACGGTCGGATCAATTCGAATGGCGGAGCTTGGTGGTCATCGAATGGGTAGTTAGCAACTGACAGAAAGAGAGGATGATCAACTTTTGATATAGTATGTATAAATGTACATGTATACAAGGTATTGAAGCTCTAATGAATGTACATACATACATCTGTATGGCAATAGTTGTAATGCCCACCTGCACTGTCAACTACGAAAGGCAAAGGCACAACAAACAAGTCAACTACACACCCAGAACAACTAGAGCTGTCTTGGGTGGGACTTGAACCCACAACACTCTGCAGTCTAGGCCAGTCCTCAGCATGTTAGTATATATACTTTGACACAATACACGGAAGCAAAAAGGAAATATCGTGTTACCAGAGCCATGCAAAACACCCCAGCTATTGAGTTACATAACACAGACCATCACATGTATACTGACAGAGCATATCACTGTATGTATATATGTACTATACATACCTCTCTGGTGAAATCTCCCAGGATCGTAGGTTCTCTCTGAACATCTATAGAAAAACACATTTTTGGCAGTAACTAAAGTAAAGTAAGGTCTGCACTATTATTGTTGTCTGAACTAACTATTATCTGGTGCCACACAGCCACCTTCAATGTTCACTAATTTAACACATTCTCCTTTACAAACACACTCTCTGCTAGTAAGTACTACATTCACTGTCATATTAACACTAGATATACAAGCTATACACAGTGATATAGCTTGTATATACACTATACACGCTATACACAGTGATATAGCTTGTATATACACTATACACGCTATACACAGTGATATAGCTTGTATATACACTATACAAGCTATACACAGTGATATAGCTTGTATATACACTATACAAGCTATACACAGTGATATAGCTTGTATATACACTATACAAGCTATACACAGTGATATAGCTTGTATATACACTATACAAGCTATACACAGTGATATAGCTTGTATATACACTATACACGCTATACACAGTGATATAGCTTGTATATACACTATACAAGCTATACACAGTGATATAGCTTGTATATACACTATACACTCGTTCGATCAATTGCAAGTACATGTACAATTGGTTTTCGTTGCCAGCTATTGTTACTCTTTCTCTTTCCTATTGCAACCTAATGTTGTTCACACCGCACTCTATATACATACAACATAAAGGGATGGTTAGGAAGGGAGATGAGGTAAAGAAAATGAAACCTAGAACTTCATGATGAATGTGCTAATGATATTCACGACTCACAGGTTGTAGACTTTGTAGTGGTCGGGATGTTTCATGTCAAAGAACCTGCCACAGTGGAAACAGAATAATTAGTGCAGGTGTGGGTTCGGAAGAGAATGTTGTTGTGGGTGGTGGGTACATGTGGGTTTTGAGGGTGATATAGTGCATGTGAAAACTACGAGGTAGAAAGGCTCAACAAACAAATCAACTGCATGGATATACTTGGGAGTGAAAGGGAACGCGGCCAGCTAGTGAAAGGGAAGGTAGAGGTGAGTTATGTCTGTCCCAAAAGAAACTCATGGGGCCTCCAGTCACGAATGTACAGTAACATTGGGACATACTAATTCACCCCCACCTGTTCTCTGTCCCACCTACTGATGGAGACAATGGCATTTTAGTGTAATAGGACTCCTAAAGTAACGACTACATCACTACAGTATCACATACTATAGTCTACATCACTATAGTATCACATACTATAGTATCACATACTATAGTCCACATCACTATAGTATCACATACTATAGTCCACATCACCATACTATAGTGACAGAGGCATTCAGTCTTTAGGACAACATCACTGCTTACTGCAACCTCATTAACACACTACAGCAGTACTAATATATTCTGACTTTAGTTATCATTTGACCTCACTATGTAGATCAGCTGACTGCATTGACTGACCCTCACTCCCTCCCTCCCCCTCCCTCCCTCCCTCCCTCACCTCACGACGTCCTGGGCTCTATTTCTGAACACTCCCTCCAGTTTCTCTGACGGGAATCCCATGGCAACGATGTTGGGCTTGATATCTGGACATTGGCTGAGTCAAGGACACTGACAACATTCACTATAGAGACACACAAACTGACGTAAAGCAGAGAGCATTCGTTGAAGAGAAGAGGAAGAAGGGGGAAAAGAATGGGTGAGGGGTGAGGGAGGGTGGAAGCAAATGCGGGGGAAGAAATGAGAGCACAAACACAAAAGAAAAGCAAAGAGACTGGCGTATTGTATACTGAGTATTTGAGCATTCTTTAGCCCTACTAATTCCGAAGCTTTCTCGCAACCAAACACAAGGTACTCAGACTTTAGTGTACACAAACCTCTACCATTACCAGCAGAGTCAGTAGAGTAAATAAACTGAGGCAGCGTAATGCACACACACACACACACACACACGCACCTGGCTACGGATGATTGCTGACAGAAGATGTGAACTGACTTGTATTTACATTAATTGCTACACAATTCACTCATCTGTTGCCATACTGACTCGGTGTGCTAGAAGTGACTTAAAGGAAGCTATTACCATACTGACTCATCTATTGCCTCATATTTATTGCTACAGTGGCACTCGCATCTGCTGGTGTAAGACTAAGAGGAAGGTTTAGTGACTGCAACACTGTGCTATGTATATATACACACTGGCATAAGATGCAAGTTAGGGGGTGGATAATTGTACTGACTCATCTACTGCCTCATGTACAGAGTTCAGCAGTAGTAAGTGGCTACATTAGGGACCTATGCTGGCATAGGCTGTTGATATTAGACCCTCTAGGGAGACATTACAACATACAGTTACTACATCATATAGAGGGTGTATATGTTCTGTATATACTATATGGAGAGGGTCTGTAATAATGATGACATCATCGTTAGAAATGCACCTGACTACTTATACATATTACATTTTACGCATAGCAGGGAACTTGCAGGTAGAAAACGGTGTGGCAAATTTTCAGATTGAAAAAATTGCAGGAGTGCTTATTTCCCTGTAAATTTTACCCAAAAACTACAGAGAAAACCTGTCCATGCAGCTATAGCTCTAAAACTTTGAAGACCGCGAAATTGTTTACTCTTTCCAGCGTTTAGTACTTGCTGTATGTCAAGTACTGGTGAGGGAATCTCATTGGGAGTATGGTATGTATTACGGAAGGAATGAGCACTTTTTGGCGAGCGAACATGAGCAAGTTACGTGTGTTCTACGAATCATTACGGTGTGTGCAATGGCATTCACAAATCAAGGACTGGGTCTAGATGGTCAATGATATTCATGGCTCACTGCAGGCCTCAGTGGAGCAGTGGTGATAGAGCGAGTGATGATAGAGTGGCAGGGAGAGGGAAATACGAGTGAATTCATAGAGGAAGTTTCGACATGAACAGGGGAATGATGATGACACAAACAACTGGCCAGCCCAGCAGGAAGGTTGGTGTGGGCCTAAGCTATTACAGAAGGGAAGAAAACTGGCAAATACTATGGTTGAAGGCTACTTTGGAAGGTATTATACCAGCACTATTACTGGACGGAAACACACAATGTGTAGGTATAGAAGGGAACTGCCTTGCCAAATTGGCAGCACACATCCGATGGCGAACACTACCTGTGCCAAATTGGCAGCCATGGACTACATACAGTACATGATACTGAAAGTGACTATATAGTGGTGGCCAGCCTACATTACAGTACATGATACTGAAAGTGACTATATAGTGGTGGCCAGCCTACATTACAGTACATGATACTGAAAGTGACTATATAGTGGTGGCCAGCCTGTACATTACAGTACATGATACTGAAAGTGACTATATAGTGGTGGCCAGCTGTACATTACAGTACATGATACTGAAAGTGACTATATAGTGGTGGCCAGCCTGTACATTACAGTACATGATACTGAAAGTGACTATATAGTGGTGGTGAGCCTACATTATGTACATACATGCTGAAAGTGAACAAAACTGAAAACCAGGTTCGAAGTTGAATGAAAAGGAATCACACACCTACCTACTTTCCCTCTCAATTCCTCACTCTTTTCCCTTTTAGTATTTAACCTCTCTCTCTCTCTCTATCTTTTCCCTTTGAGTTTTTAACCTCTCTATCTCTATCTTTTCCCTTTTAGCATTTAACCTCTCTATCTCTATTATTTCCCTTTTAGTATTTAACCTCTCTCTCTCTCCTTTCCTCCTCCCCCCTCCCAAAAATCAGCCCAGGAATGAACTGTTTTCAAAAGACGAGATAGGCTATGAAATTCCACACATGACTCAAATAACAATACACCATTGTACACAGTACTATCGCGTGTACATAGTATGCACCATTCGGAGCCAGTGAGTTGAGAGGTCTAAAAAAGGCAATGTTCCGTGGGCTATAAGAACACAGTAGGAAGATGTGTACACAATTCAACCATCAGACAAACGCCATTTGTGCATACAAGTAAAACCACATTGCCACATGTGTACTAGGGATCATGGCCGTAGTATATATATAGACAAGTAAGTTTTAGGGGACTTTCATCTTTAGCCTGGGTTCAAAATACGTTGCATTGCAATGTGGCATCGCGTTGCCAAGATAAACTATACTGACTTATAGGGCCACGGTGTTTGATTTATAGCTGCGGGGGCAGCTATGTCAATCGGGTATATACTCCTCATGATAATATGATAAAATGGGCTCTATCCTCACAACGCAGAATGCAGCGTGACGTGACATATAGAAGCGCGACAACTGGCTAAAACTAAATTCACTGCTCTTTATTAGAGGGGAAAGGCCAAGGCAAAGCAACACGCACAAATATGAGAGTGTCTGTGGTACTGGACTTAGCAAGTCTACAAGGCTAGGTTCACAACATGTGTAATACCCCATTGCACAGTGCCACCATTGCACCACGCAACATCACAAGGACAGGCAAAAACAGACAAGTCAACTGCACCCAGGACAGCTCCTTGACCTAGGTGGGATTCGAACCCACGACAATCTGCTTTTGTAGGCACATTATGTATCATGGTGGTTTTCTCTCTCTCTCTCCATTACTCTTCAGTGACCAGTACATATTATATGCTGCAGTGCCCAGATATCCCTAGGCAAATAACATGTATGAACCACGCTTGCACATGTAGGGCTGATAAAACCCCCCACTACCTAAGCTTCGTACATGTCGTATCCCTAGGCAACCGACATGTATGAAACTTAGGTACTGGGGGATTTTATCAGCCTACACAATCCCACATGTGCAAGCAGGGTTCATGTACATGTCATTTGCTTAGGGGATATCCAACAAATCTGTTGCAGTACCCAGACAGGACAGCATGAGCCCTGTACTGCAACATACACAATACATATAACTCCCCAGTACGTACCTTCATACATGTCTGTTGCTTAAGGAGGATATCCAACAAATATTATACACACACTCCATTGATGTTTACACGTATACCAGAAATTGGCACAATGGCTGGAGGAAAAATGACGAACGTGGCACGAATTACCTACGCACCATAGGGCACCATAAGAGCTGTACAATATTATACAGATGGTAGCATTTCCAAATATGTAACCATCACTTAGAGGTCCCACTCCATATGGACAAATTAGTCTTTCACTAGTTCACAAATTAGTCTTTCAGTATACAGTGGAACTACCCCCTCTAAGGACACCCCTGATATAGTAGAGATGCCCTTTTTCTTTCTCCACCTCCTTAACCCCTGAAATAATGACACCTCACCAATATGGAGACTTTACTTTGCCATTCCTACTGCCTAAAACATGTTCCATGGGCCCATCATGTCCATACATTTGAAGTTCCATTCAACTTTGGCTCACGCAACAGAGTTATGTATGTACATTGTGTATCATATTATTATGCTCTTAACAAAGTCAAGTAAAGATGCTGCAAAGACAATTCAAAGACACCGAGGACTATATATATAGAAAGAGGGAAAGAGCTGCCCTGGGTGGGACTGGAAACTACAACACTATCTCTAGAGGTCATACAGATATTCATAGTTCATATAGCCATGGGATGTGTTTGTAATAATTCACACGACACAGTGCTCTAGCTATGAGAAATGCACGCTTGTTAACCCACACAGCACGCATTGCATGTTGAAGTGCGGTAGCTAGTTTAGGCTACAATATACCTCTACAATAACATGTGATTTGTACAGATTTTTAATGTTTTGGGGTTTAATGCCGCCATAAGTCGACAAAAAAAAAAGTGTGTCTAAATTTTTGAGGTGTCTTAGACTCGGAAGCAAGTGCCTATAGTGATGTGTCCTGAAATCAGAATAAAGTGTCCTGAGCAATAATAAAGGTGTCCTACTGAGTGAAGTGTCCTGATTTGATGTCTAGAGCACCACAAACAATGTAGGGACCAAAGACCTCTGACCAACACATACGTCCTTTTCGGTATGACTGGTTTTAACATCTAATCAATTAAAAATGGTATGGAACACATTACGTAGTAAATGGGAGTGGCAACTTCCACAGCCAATCACTCAAATTACCAATCACAATTCCCTGGAAGAAGGAAAGCTCTCTTCCTGAGAAAATGTTATCCCCCCATAGATGTACCTATAATAATATCCAGCTACAGTGCATGTAGTTATGCAAACAGTATTATTTAGTCTAATACAGTGATGTGTGTGTATCAATAAACGTGCAGATACAAGATTGTGGAACAGGAGAATGATGAATGGAGGAGAGGGAGAAGGGGGGAGGTGGGAGTGTATATGGAGGAGGGGAGATGAGAGGTGCGATGAAGAGAGAGAAGTAAAGAGTGAGGAAGAGAGAGAGAGATGCAGAGAGAGAAGTAAAGAGTGAGGAAGTGAGAGAGAGATGAAGAGAGAGAAGGAAGGGAGAGAGAGATGCAGAGAGAGAGGTAAAGAGTGAGGAAGGGTGAGAGAGATGCAGAAAGAGAAGGAAGGGAGAGAGAGATGCAGAGAGAGAGGTAAAGAGTGAGGAAGGGAGAGAGAGAGAGATGCAGAAAGACTGAAACTCAATTCTAAGGGTTCAGCCCCATATCTAGGACATATGGTTTCATATCAAACATTCTAGTTGGCTCTGTGAGGTTTCTGTGTAAGATCAAGTGACACCTCACCAGCTAGCAACGGTAACTGTTGCTGATTCATCCCTAACATACACACCTCACTTGCTATTTATGTAGCACAGTTATATGCATAGAGCACCCAATTATACTGTATATACCATGTCGATACTGACATACTAGTTGCATTATGTACACTGAATGCAGTAAACTAAATGCATGTGCAGTAATGAAACAGTTAAGTTTATTAAATACACAAAGCTTGCATCCAAAATGCATTATGCAGTTGTAGTTGATTAGCAAAGTGTGTGGTAAAGTGTCCTGATTAGCGAGGTGTCCCTGTTAGTGTGGTGTCCTGATTAGTGAGGTGACTATTTCCCTGATTAGTGGAGTTTCCTGCCTCAAAGACTACACCAACTGAAGTAGAGACATCCACCAACACAAAACTCATAAACACACAAAGTTCAACCTCAGTTGTATGGACAGCACAGTTCCCCTAAGTAAGGCAGTACAAACTGTTCCACAAAGGCTATATAGGAAGAACAGCAGACAGACTAACCAATCCACCCACTAACAAACTAGCTGACCACTAAATGAAACACACCATTTGTGACTCTGATTTCCTTTCCATACTCTTCCTCTCCCTCCCTTTCTCCCTCCCTCATTCTCTCTCTCCTCCCTCCCTTTCTCCCTCCCTCATTCTCTCTGTTTTCACACATCTTTTTTTACCTCATGCTTCCCTCTCTTTCTCTCTCTCCTGTCGTTCCATACCCATTGTGCACACACTAACAGAAAAGAATAAAGTGGCAACCCCTCTAATCTGGACACAATGAGCAGTTCTTGTATTTCGGGATCGTGCAAGAACCGTTCTGTGGGAAGGAGCTACAAAGGTGCCACTATTAGATAGGTGTGTTTATTTCCAAATAGACCAAGTTCTACACATACACAATGTCCACATCATTTTTATGCCCTCCACCAACACAGTTATGATTGGTGATGCCAGTTACATGATACCAGGAACTCTTATGGACACTTTATCTTCCTCATTTCCTCCCTACCATCACAACCTCTGTACTACTATACTATTGGGCAACAGAAAGTGACAACATTACGTACTATACATAGTCGGTGCATAAGAGAGAGGGGGAGAGAGAGGGGGGAGAGGGGGAGGGTGCAAGACTTGACGCAACGGTTAGGAAAAAAGAAAGATGGAGGAAAAGAGGAGAGAGAATAATACGAAAGAGAGCGACAGAGAGAGAGAGAGGTGGAGGAGAGAGAAGGAGGGGGAGGGGGAACAGGGGGAGGGACACACTAAAGGAGGGAGGATACAAGTCAAATCCAGGTCGAATCCGTACTCCACATACCGCCTCTTCTTCTTTGAGACCATTTTCTTGACAATGTTTGTCATGGTTGCTCCGTGTCCCTCACCCGCTCACCGCAAAACCAGACAATAGCACACACGGAAAAGTCAACGATAGGTACACACAGGGATCAGTGGGCGATAGTCAAAACTACTCGCCGGGCGCTCTGTCTCCACCGTTTCTTTCCCGCTGGCTCGTTCACGCCTGGGCTCGGCTCTAGCAAGCTTCCTTTCCCCGACACAACCCCGCACAGGGACGGCTAGAAACTGCAACTCCTTTGCAAGACCGATATGACGGAGAATTGGGCGACGTCCACTTCCAAATTAGGAAGGTTTCGCGGTGACGTCACGGTCACGTGATCTTGGTGCGTTCTTCAATTAACGCACACTTTGCCGCCCCCGGCACTAATACACACCGCCTCTTTCTCCTCCCCTTTTCTCGCTTGTGGAAGGCGTTCCATACACAGTACTGTTGTTTCTAGGGTACCGTACGAGGCGTGGGGTGTGCTCTTGTCGCTGTTCACTTTTGGGAACACTCGCGCGGACACTATCTCTGGTGCAAAACGAATGGGAGGAGGGTGAGTGAGCAGAACTGTATATCCCTGTTTACGTATGTGTAGCGGTACACGTGCTTAGCACGTACACAATACTGTCTTAGTCAACGCTGTGGGTCCACCACTCTGCGAAGAACGTTTTTCTACAGTGCAGTTTCTTCCCCTATTAGTGATGCTTACGCAAGCATGTCCTTCTCTACCTCCCTTCCTTAGTCTTGGCAAGAGACCCATGAGAGGGGTTCTAAGTGACTCACATTCTTGCACCAAATCAAATTGCACTACATAGTATTCGCCACCAACATGTGAAAAATCACCCAATGTAATGTGTACAGTACAAACTCCATGAACTAAAACACGCCTTTCTGCGCATGAATCCAACAATGATGGGTCAGTAAAGCCAGTTCGCCAAGAACGTGTTGCATTTTCATTCAAGTATTAATGGACACTTTTCCTTTCCCGGTGGTTGGGTCTGTGTACAAAACCATATCCCTCTGTCCTTCCAGAAACAACGGTATGCATCGAGGTGGTGGATCAGTGAGGACCATGATGGCCCTCTGTCTGGGGGGACTGGTGCTCGTGACGGTCCTCTACTTGGCCAAGAGAGTGGATTCCAACAGGACACACAGGGAGCTGGATCTAGTCAAGGTTTGTATGAAACTGTATGAGGAGGAGGAGGGAGGGAGGGAAGAACTCTGAATATTCCAAGAAAGTGGAGCCAAACATGCAGTATCTGTAGGATTGTTGATTTGTGTATAATATTCGTCACGTTTGTAATAATGCGCACAGGGGACATGTGGTTGTTGTGTCACAGGGGACATGTGGTTGTTGCGTGCAACCCACAAGTGACGTGGTTGTATGTATTACGGTGTGTGCACAAGTACAAACTGCATTAGACTGACGTACTGTAATAGTGTATGTATGTATACAGAATTCTCCTAGCCAACCAAGCGTTCAAACAACAATGCAACATAGACGCTGGTACGTGAATCCAGGGCGGACTGTTTGGTAAGATGAGTAGGCCAAAACCAAACGTGTGTACATACGTACATAGTTGGACTACGTGTGAAGGTAATGTGTCAAATTGTAGGGAAAAAATCGCTCCATTTTGACCGCTAGGTTAGCTCACTGCTTTACAATCATGCAAGGTACGTAACGTAACTACCAAGTCCATGTACTTATAGTTCATTCGATTCGTCATGGCTTGAACTTTGCACTCACATTGCGCAAGCGCTGATAGACTGCGCAGAAACGCCGTTCATTATAGTTTAGTTTCTCCATCATCTCTCCTTCCTTCCTTGTCTCTCACTCTGTAGATTGAGAGCAGGGACATCACTGAGGGGCTCAACAATAAACTGATGGAGTGTATTGAAAAGGTGGACTCACTGACTCAGGATTCTACCGTCATCGGAGGAGAGCTTAAGAGTGTCAGTAGGCTTATGTGTAATATGATAGTATTGCAATCTGTAATATAAACTGCCATACTGAATATCGTAATACTTGTGTACTTGGGCAAGTGTATTTGTTTTACAGTGGAACCTCTGGATAAACCAGTACACAGTGTGATGATATTCCAGAGGTGTCCTTTATTCTATTACACTGCAAGTACTGTATGTTTCACGTAATCGTGTATCATGGCTTTCGTTACCCACTATGCTATTATCTCTCCGTTCACCCTCTCCCTCCCTCCCCAGTGTAAAGACACCAAGGCTGTTGTCATGGACCAAACTCAAAAGTTGAAGTCAGAGAACGAGAAATGCAACAAAGAATTGAAACTTGCTATAGAAGCACAGGTAATGTGTATGGTCCATATAGCTCTGTTGGCAATCTTCCTTGAGGCATGTGCGATATTTGGAGTTAGCTATACTTACGTTATTTAAAGGTCTGTGCATCGACCAATCAGATTGCGCAATTTAAATTAGCTCTAAAACTCATTGTAAGATATATGTTTGGCATTGTCAGTTCACAAACATCGCAATAGCCCATCCTGACATTTCAGATTTTGTGAGTTTTCTTCTTCTATCCTTCCCTCTCCTCCCTCTCCCTCCCTCTCTGTTCCTATAGACCGAAGCAGATGTTGGGATGCAGGGGCTCAGATCAGAGAAAGAGACAGCCATTGCAGAGAAACAGTCAGCAGATAATGAGCTGCAGGATATGCTACAAGAGAACGCGGTACGTTTAATTTGGTGAGGTGTCGTCATAGCCGAAGTGTTGGCTTTGTGTTTCAGTTCCTCTATATGTTGTGTACTGGCGGTCTACTCACAATATCATACATTACTTCCTCCCTCTCCCTCCCTCCCGATCCCTCTCTGCTTCTCTCCCTCCCTCCCTCTCTCTCCCCCTCTCCCTTCCTCCCTCCCTCTCTCTCCCTCCATCCCTCTCCCTCCCTCCCTCCCTCTCTCCCTTTCTTACAGAACATTCAATCACAATTGGACGAATGTGATGGAGAAAAGGAGCACCTAAATTCACAAAAGTAAATCACACACCAGATAGCCAATCAATGTGGAGAACACGGCAAGCCTATACCTAGTCGCTAATTGGGATTGTGTTCGTTCTACTGTATAATGTACAAGTTGCTAAGGTTGAAAAATTTCTAGCATTGCTTGTAGAAAAGCACAGTGACACACACACACACACACACACACACACACACACACACAACTATCAATATTGAAATATAGGCGAAATAGGGATGAGTATATACAGCGAGAAACGTAGTGTTGCTTTTCCATACTCTTCGTATTACAGATGGTTAGTATTGTCAAGGGTCAGATGTACGCCTGCAAAAAAAACACAAGTCAAAAATTGAAACCGCCATATATATAGCTATGGAAAAGTGGTGAAGGGAGACAGTGCAGTAATATTGAACATCAAGTTTTAATAACTTTTCCGACAATTGGTTTATGTTTTCTTATTAATATTGCAGAGATATGGAAGGTCGCTGTAATAGCCAGCTAGTGACAGCTGAGGCCAAGCTGAAGACAGCCACCGAGAGAGAGGCTAGTCTGTTCACTGAAGTACAGGCTCTTACCTCTCAGAAGAAGGTATACATGTGATAATTATGCAGTGGAACCTCCGAACAAGGGACACTATGGGGCCAACGATTTTGTCCCTTGTAGAGAGGTCGTCAAGTCAAATAATACACTAAGTATTACTTAGCATTAGTTGTCCCTATATCGGAAGGTCCCTTATCGGAGGTTCCACTGCAATGTACTGTAACAGTTGAAATTTCGAAGAGAAGCCTCCAAATGGAGGACTCCTCTCTGTAAAGGACACCTTGTTCTGCCCCACACTACCTCTGAATAAGGAACAACTCTGAATTAAACCACACTATGTTTTTGGTGGAATCTGTGAACCCCTGCCCTAAAATAGTCGTGGTGTAGGATTCAATACACTATAATTAAATACTACTATATATAATATATTATTTATGAAACACTAAATTTTCAGGAAATGTGAATTTTATTCCTTCCCCTACTACTCCCTTCACCTAGACTTTAGAGGCACGTGTGGCACAGCTATTAACTCAGCTCTCTCGAGCCACTGAAGCAGGTGCAAAATAATACATCAGTGAGGGTTGCCACACATTGTATTTCACATTAATTTGCAGGCAAAACAGGGTGAATTTTAAACTGCTATACATTAATTGAAGGGGTCAGAGTGAGCCAACCCTCCAATATACAACTCTTTGCCGGTTTTTGTTCTATAAGGACATTTAGAACATATTTGAAGGAAAAACGGCAAGAGTTGTATATCTGACTCTGACCCCTTCAATTTAGCGAACCTTCACATACAGCTGAGGGTTACTATACGTATGTATGTTAGAGCAAAGCATTAAACCACTCCACTGCAGGTTGGTAGGTATGGTATTAAACATTTGCAGGCAAACGGGGTGAATTTTAAACTGCTATACTAGCGAACCTTCACATACAGCTGAGGGTTACTACGTACGTACGTATGTATGTTAGAGCAAAGCATTAAACCACTCCACTGCAGGTTGGTAGGTATGGTATTAAACATTTGCAGGCAAACGGGGTGAATTTTAAACTGCTATACTAGCGAACCTTCACATACAGCTGAGGGTTACTACGTATGTACGTATGTATGTTAGAGCAAAGCCTAGTGGATATTAAACCACTCCACGTGCTCTTTCGGCTAATGTAAAAATTTCCATTGTCAGATGTACAATATTTAACTTGTACTAAAAAGTGTACATATGTAGTGAGTGGACTCAAACCAGCAGAGCTGTGGGGAAATTAATATTGCCCTCCCTTGTACAGACGAACATAATGAACACAAGCTAAACCAAAGGCTGAAATGAGACAAGGTCAGAATGGTAACAACTCCTCCGCCCTTCCATGATCTTCCTCACTCTCTCTTTCACCTCCTCTCTTTTTATCCTCATTTCCTCAAATTATTCCCCAACACCCTCTCTTCCTTCTCTTCAACTTTACTTTCCACGTGACCCCATCAACTTCCTCAATGGTGTTTTACCTGGCGTTCTGTGTGTGCACAAGTTCCACAATTCCATTCCTTTTGTTCATATTTTGTGCTCACCCATTCTTCCCTCCCTTCCCTCTTGGTTTCCTTCTGCCTCCAATCCTCCCTCTCTCCCCCTCTCCCTCCTCCCCTCTCTTCCCTCCTCCCTCTCTTCCTCCCTCTCTTTCTCCTCCCTCTCTTCCTCCTCCTTCTCTTCCTCTCCCCTCTCTCCCCTCCCCCTCTCTCTCCCTCCTCCCCTCTCTTGATCTACATCTCACCTCAACAAGGTGGACCCCAAAGACAAGGCCATGTTCCAAAAAGATGGCAGAGACCAAGGAGACCACGGAGACCAAGAAGACCAAGGAGAGCAAGAAGAGACTGGTGAAGCAGGTGGCCTTGAATTTCCACCTGGTGGCTTGTAGCACGACAGCCAAACCAAGTTTAAGTAACCAGATTAAAAGTTAGACGATGGTAGCTATGTCCAGCCTCGGGTCCCTGATTTCTGTATTCTCCGGGGAATCGAGCGTCTAACCTTGTACCATGGCAACCTCATCCTTTCAAATCCGGTGCCTTGGCAGCGCATCTTTCAGTGTGCGCACAAACTAACGGACGTGTGTACAACGATCGCCTGGCTTACATTGCTAGCTAATCCATCATTCATTCGAGCTCTTTCCATTAGTTAAAAGAAAGCAAGAAAAAGGAGGCGTATGCATGTTTTTCTTGTAAATTGGCTTGTTTTCATGTATGTAATTCTGTAAAATTCGAGGTGTATGCGGGAATCAGAAACCTCGTTTTTGTGTGATTTTCATAAAAGCACTGAGTTCAAAAGTATGAAAACAAAGTCAATTATGCACTTGCTTACCTTGATCGCATTCTGCCTGTTTGTGACTGTAGAGGCATCAGAAGGGTAAATGTCAGGTCTCATGATCTACTTCTACTAAACAGTTTTTAATTGAGTAGGTGTGGCTATTAAATGGGTTTTCTGCTCAACTTAATTTCTTATCCCCTCCTTTTTCATCCCTTTTCCCTCTTCATTTACAGGTCCAGCAAAACCTCCACTCCCGTAAAAATAATTTTTTTGAACAATTGCTCAATAAAAAAACAATATGATTGTATAATACATGCATTCTTGTTCAACAGCCCTTGTAATTGTATGACCATCTCTAAATTTTTTCCGTGCTAATAATTTTTTGCCCTGGCAAAGGTTGACATATGCGTCCAGTGCCTCCATAAGTCCATAAGAATTTATATGGGGGTTATAATACTAGGCACTAATACTTTATACATAAATTCTGCGTTTTTAAGAAAATACCCATGGCATCCAAAGGGTTAAATTAGCTAAAACAATACGTCATATTCACGTATTCATTGGCTTTTTTTCCAGTTGATCAAGATAAGAGACTTGCATGGAATTCACGTACAGACAAAAGCAACAATAAATCTTCCAATTGATGAACAAAAAACACACTGGGCGCACAACACACTAAAAATTTATAAGATACAAACAAATCTTGAAAGAAAAAAACGTCAATTTTGTTATGAAAAAGAAAAACGAAAGAAAAAGTTTGATGAGGTAAAATGGACTGCAGGAATTAGAAAATGCATTGAGAAAGCCTTGCTTTTGGGCGGAGTTTGAACAACACAAATGAGAAATCATAATTTGTTAAACATATACACATCTACAAACACTGCTATATATAATTTTGGCAACGAGAAACAAATGAAGAGGCAAAAGTTTACAAACGCACAGAGAAAAGTTGTTAATAATAATAGGAGAGTGATAATAATATCGAAGTTGGCTGAGAAGACGAGATAATAATACTGATGCAATTTATTATGAAGGAGCGTGTTATACCATTTGAACGGGTGATTCTGACAACGGACGGTTTCTCTCTATTGTCAGTAGCTTGCCGTTCTTGTCGTACATTTTCGGCTGAATATGCTGACTCAGCTTCCAGAGTGTCTTTTTGACTCGCTGCGGAGTGAGCCTGACCGTGCTGTTGCCGTGCCAACACTCCGTGATTGTTCTCAGGATAATTCTCATTGTCTGAGGGAGGGAGAAGAGGGAGGGAGGGAGGGGAGGAGGGAGAAGAGGGAGGGAGGGGAGGGAGGGAAGGAAAAGAGAATAGGATGTTACTGTATATACTCTGACCGAAAACTATTCAGTGCTTGCAACATGTGTGTTCTCACGCCTAATACCCTAACTAAGTACGGTAGTACAGTACAATAAGGGATTGGCATGGAACATTATACAGTGCCAAACAATTTATTTGAACCAAAGCAGAGAGGGTGAGGGGAAAAGATGAAGAACCATTGAAAGTTGTTGGAAAGGGAAGAAGAAGAGGTGAGATGTAGTTAGAGCACATTTCTGGCCTATCCTCTATCTTAACCCTCCCCATAAGAATGTGGACACATACACAGAACGTAATTCTGAGTGGGAACCCCAATTGTATAAGTGAAAACGCCTCAAGAGTGTTTCATATTCCTAATGAAAACGCAATTTCCCAAAAATTCAAATTTCACATGTCTGCATACCTCATCCCTATTCCACTGGTCGGGTACGGGAGGTCGAAGGTCGCGGGTGATGACAATATCTCTCATTTCGTCTCTCTGGACTGGAGTCTGTTGGAGAACTGTGGAGTAGGGCAGACACACACTCTCTACCATCCCTGGAGGGGGAGAGAGGACAGGGGGAAAGGGGTTAATTAATGACTGCGGGGTATTAGGGGTTAATTTTGTGCAAAGATGCATAGAAATGGCGCCTAGCAAAATCTAGGCTAGGTATATAGCAACAATAATGTCTTTATTAATAGGCCACACCCACCTAGTACAGAGCATCGTCTGGCAATCTCCCACAGCACGAGACCGTAGGAATAAATGTCTCCTTTCTTGAGGGTCTCTAGAGTGGGCGTGGCTGGAGGGCTGGCCAGGAACTCGGGGGCCAGATATCTGTAGTCGGGATTAGGAGTGGTGGTGGATGATAGGTCTGCGGGGTTGTCTGCGCTCGTGACGGCCAGTGAGAAATCCGAGATACAACATGAGCCTGAGGAGGGGGGGAGGGGAGGAGGGGTGAATTGAAGGAAGGAAGGAGGTGGAAGAAGGGAGCGCAGAATGAAAACTTTCAACAATGGAAACCCTACAGTGCACCTCAATTGCACAAGAACACAACAAGGAGAGGGAAGCACAGGAGAGTGGGATTAATCTTTGCTCAGACTACCACAAAGCAGTCAATAATTCCCATAGAACACTTGAAAACCCTCAAATTCACACTATATACATAATGTAGGTAACATTGACCTTCATAATTACGTACCATTTGCAGTCACATAGATGCTCTCGCTGCTGATGTTCCTGTGGGCTATGGAAGGCTTTCTTCCCAACTCATCGCTAAGGTCAGAGTGCAGGAACGCCAGTCCGTCCGCGATGGCCATCGCAAACGTGACGACGTTGTAGGAATGCAGCGTCGTTTTCTGGAGGTATTCGTAGAGCGAGCCGTGTCTGTGGTACTCGAGGACGATGAAATGGTGTGATGAGGAGTCTGGGTTGTCCGTGGCATAGAAACAGTGGACGTTTTCGTGACGCATGTGTTGGAGCTGTGTGTGGGAGGGAGGAGAGAGGGGGAGGGAGGGAGGGAGGAGAGAAGTCTAAAGTTAAGAGGCAACACTTCAGTTTTCCATCAAGAACTCCCTTGCAATACTGAAAAATGTTTATCTCAAACTTTCAACATCCAGGTACATATAAGTTAATTTCTCCAGCTTACGGGCACCCCTATTGTCCCATGCAGCCCAGAAAAACTACTTGTTCAACTGATACGCAGTGTATATACCCAGTATCAAAATCCGACTATTACCTGGTGTATTCTGCTCTCATTGAACCAAATCCTCTCGGCTTTCTCGCTGAAGACCTTCACGAGGACCTGGTCTCTCCTCCACACTCCGATGTAGGTATCACAGAACCTCCCCTTCTCCAGGTTCTTCTGGAGACTGGTGTGCTGGACAATGTGGCGCTGTTGGAGGGAGGGGAATGGATGTGTGCTCAGCTTGCCCAGGGAGATGCCTGGAGGGAAGGAGACGAGAAAGGAATTAGATAATTATTAGGGATCACCAGCTGAGTATGTGTTTTAATGTAAGCGTGTAAGCGTTGAACGTAGCAATTTCTTGTTTGTATATTATAGAAGGGGTTATGGCGGCTATATTAGAAACCCTTTTTTTTCTCTCTCCTTCCTCTCTCTCTCCTCTCTCTCCTCTCTCCTTCCTCTCTCTCTCTCTCCTTCCCCTCTCTCTCCTTCCCCTCTCTCTCCTAACTCTCTCTCTCTCTCTCCCTCCTCTCTCTCTCCTTCCTCCCGCTCACCCTGAGGTTGGAAGGCGACTGGACCGATACTGGCCACAGGAGAAGGTGAGGAATCGCCACACTCGCCCATGTCCTCCGTCCTCTCCCTGTCACTCCGCCGGTGACAGCAGTAACAGTAGAAGAAGGAGAGAGAGACGGACGCCGCTATGATGATGAAGAAACTAGCAATGACGCCGGATACTATGGCGATGGTTTCCAAGGTGTCTCCGCCCGACGAGCCGGTTGATTCGTCAGTCTCCATTCCCGTCTTGTTTTTATCTGAATACAGTAGCAAATTTTAATTGTCAGAATGCGCACATACAATAATTATTGCGATGTGTTAGATTATAGGTCTGATGAAACATTATAGGTGAAAGATGAGTAGAGAAGTAGTAAATAGCATTGGTAAGCCATCGTGTTGGTAAGGAACCTTAAGTTGACATATGGTCACATTTTGCCCATTGGGGGCTTACATAGATTTCGTAAATAGTGATTAGGGATGGTAACATAGTATAAAAGTGATACTGTAAAACGACACACCAACAGGAATAATGAGACCACTCACCACTGATCCTGGCCTCTCTACTGCTAGTGGTGCTCCAGTGGTTACAGTAGTTACTGAAACAACAGGCCTTCGAGTCGTCTGATTGGTCAGTGCCGCAGTAGTCTGGAACGAAGGATTCCGAGGTGCAACCGCTTATTTTGACCCGCTCTGCTTCCAGTATCTGGAGGTGAGAGGTGATAATAGACAGGGGGAGGATAAAGATAGGAAAGTAGGTGAGAGAGAGAAAAAAGGAATGAAGTATATTATACGTCAGTACAGACATATGTCAATAAACACTAGAACAATGCTTCAGCCGAGGGATTTCAACATTACAGTGTGTGCAGCATCATACATCGAAAAATCCCACATTCAGACAACTAGGTAGGCTCGCTTTGCTAGCTATAATGATGGTAAAAGGGTTACAGCATTATGCCATCCAAGAAACAAGTGTTGGTCATGCGCAGCTCCCAAACATACAGACATTCAACACACCAGAAACAGCGAAATATTTCACGAGCGGTTCAACGAGTATCAGATGACACACGTGGTCGAATTGACGAAATGAAGAGTTAATGAATAACACATTGCGAAAAGCTGACTAGCATCACTATGACAGCGAGCATTCGCCTCGAATTACAAACCAATTAGCGACTTCAACACGAGGAGACCTTTTCCAGGAATGTTTACGGCCACAAATGATCGAGCAGCCGTGAAAGGCTTTTGGCAGATCAGTATTTGCAAACTTGACGTGTTCAACGAGAACTTAACTAACTGTAGCTGAGAAGATTATTTCTGTCTCGTGTTCCATTATCAGAGAATTTTACGCAATGGTACGACAACGACGTATGTGTAAAAAATACTGTTTCTTAGCTAAAATGGAAAGTTAAGAAGAAGAAAATGAAGACAGACAGTCAGAAAGAGAGAAGAGTTGTGTATAGAGGATAGAGAGGGAAACAGGGGAATGAAATAAGCTGAGGGGGAGAAAGAGAAAGTGTGAGGGGAAGAAGAAAAGAGGAAGGGGAGGGAGGGAGGAGAGAGAGAGGAGTACAGTGGAAAGAAAGAGGAAAGAAAGAGGAAAGGGGAGATCTTTACCTGTACAAAACAGGCTCCTCCGGCCTCGGTGTGGCAGACTCCAGTCTTACAGTCGTTGCACAGACACTCCAGAGCACCTACACAACACAGCAACGGCAGTTCATACGTAACTCACCACTTAACTACTATTAGAACAGATGCACCAAAATTATCTAAGCTTTCTAGATCCAACGGTACAGAGTTTCGTGTTACGTTTCATTTTTATGTTAGTAGAGTAAGTAAAAGATATAACCAATCTGTGAGTTTCTTGCCAGCCCAGTGTCTCATGCGGGAGATTGCACGATACGTACATATCAATATGGCAATTTGGTACAATGTAGGCGCCTCCACCGATACACAGTGAGTGTATAGAACCATTTATGCACGTACTCTGTCTTACATAAGGAGGTGGATGTATTAGTTTATGCAGCAATGGAGCTGACTCCAAAGAACGCACAACAATGAGGACTTGGCATATGCCCCAATAGGAAGGACTGTGCATGCATGTAGATAAACCCACGAAGGAACAAAACGAACAAAGGAACAAGAAGTATAAAGACTATAAGCCAAACTAACTTGTGACATTTGCTACTCAATACCGTGCCCGTAATTGACTAGCTAACTATTCTATCTCTTTTTCCAGTTCATACACTTCTTATTGCACCTATATTCAATAAGCACTTATTACACACACACACACACGTATAATTAATTTAGAGCTCTTCATAGGAGAACACAACTCACATACGTACCTATACACAGCAATCTTCTTCCGTACCACACTCTAGTTGCAGCTCATAGACTGAGAGTCTTACTACAAAGTCCCGGCTTATATACCCTCCCCAGACCCCCCCCACAGGTTACACCATACATTGCTCCATACACAGGAGTAGTGATACGATCAGTTATGTAGTATGTACAGCGCCCCACCCTCCCATCTTGTCTCCAGTCTCGGTTACCAGTCTGTGTTGTTCTAATGCAGCAGCTACATACAAGCCTCGTGTATTACTCATGTTGTGGGTCAGACGGCTGCACAATGTCTCTACAATATCACATGTAAATCTATCGTACATACGTACATTGTCTGTACAATGACTACAAGAGAGCGTATCAACACGCTGCAATGCAGGGGGGGAATATGTGCAGGGAGAACATACGTTTCTGTTATGTCTGCCTAATTACGGGTAGACTCACTGGTACTGTGCGGGACGTGTGTGGGGGGCAGTATTGGTTGGGGAGCTAGCCGTGATTCTCTGTTGTTATACTGGTCACTACAATATCAGGTAACTCCAGAAGTCTATACCACTGTCTCCAATAAACAAAATAGCTCCAGACACCATGGCCACACAGCTACGTAGGCAAGAGAACTTGCCTGGAGGTGACGTCATGGTTACTAGTATACAGTGGAGTATTACTATGCTGAAACTTCATGCGAGGTTTGAGCATCCTTACAAAATTATGGTGGCTACTCCAAAATGTCTGTAAAGAAACACGCTCCTAGGAGGCGCCTGAAAGACTTAAAGTGTCCAATTCCTCATACTGCCACCGAAAAAATCGTTTGAAGGCTTTATTATGCAAAACGTTAGGAGCTTCAGTGAAGTACTGTAGAAATACTAAACTGGAAAGAAATCGCATTACATTATGTTTATGCAACGGCCAGAGGTAAAAAAAGTAACAAGTTGAGTCAAGATAGACCGAAGCTCAATTTGTAAGGAAGTTGAAGATGTTTTGACAGAGAGTTGAGTAATAGCCCTGTAATCAATACCTCATTAGCGGAGGAGGAAGTGGATATGTGGATGTGTGTCCCTATTAGGAAATGGCAGGAGGGAGTGTACAAACTGCCCACAGCCAGCCATTCTGTCTGTTCTATAGTGCAGGTGGGATGTAAGGGAGGAAGTCAGATTTCTGTCTGTCTGTCTGTACACCTATACTATAGTTCCCATGTATCATACTAACTGGGACTTCACCATATATACACCATAAGGTAAGGTAGTTCCATGAAAAGGTGGTCAGTTGAATCGATTACTGGAATAAGGGGGAGTCTCAGAATCATGACGCTTTAATTTACAGTGTGGTGCCATCAGCCTTGGCGGGGATGCTCAACTCAATCTCTCTCTTGGACTGACAAAGGCCTTCAGGAAGTGGTGGGGGCTCAACCCTTCACTATTGCAGATAGAATAGCTCACTACCCTGTTTAGCGGAATTACAGGAATTACAGGAATATGCGTGTTGGGAGAGGAAACTCTGTGACAGTGAGAAATTAGTCCGAAATGTAGGGTCCAACCCATCATTATTGCACAAAGCTGTGTATAATTCTGTTGGTGAGTGTAATGCACATGTACGTCAGTGTGCTGAACCTTTCCACAATGGCTATTGGCACAAGGAGTGAGCTCTTGGCACTGAATGTGAAATGTATGGAAGACACTGTGAGGGAATTACTGTGTACAATATAGGGGCTACCCCATACGAGCCAAGGGAAATTCCCCTCCAGTCAACTCACAAGGCAATAACATGGTAACATGTCTTGTACATATACTTTCTTGTGGGTGTGCACACTGCGCCACTTGATGCATTACCTATACCTTTGCTGGTGGTGGCTGTGCTTGTATAGTGGACATACACAGAATACACCACTCCTGTCACGCTGTGTATATACGTACATGAATGTAACATGTAAACACGATAAGAGAGGAGTATTGTCTGGAGGTCAACAGACTGAAAGGCCAGATAGGCAGACAGCCTGACTGACTGTGACCAACTGATTTGATAGCCAACAGGCTCCAGCAGTTGTCCTCCACACATGAATGTACATGTCCTTGTGTACATTCCTTGTGTACATAATGTTCCTTGTGTACATAATGTTCACACCTGATGGTGCTAGATAAAATGCACACTTGTGTACACACAGTACACACAAGTGTGCATGCAAGCAGTGAAACCAACAACTGCAGCGAAACCGACAACTTTCTACTGATCGATTTCTCTGTCCAGGGTATACATACACAACCACACACAAAGCTAACCAGTGAAGAAAGCTATCTGCGCCAGCGTTTTACGCACTTACATTAGGCAGAGGTTTAGTTTAAAGGGGACACTCCCCTCCCTCCCCCCTCTCTAGGGGGTTTTGTATATACCCCTCTTTGGGAGTAGGACTAGTGAGAGAGATAGGGGGGACACTCCCCTCCCTCCCCCTCTCTAGGGGGCTTTGTATATACCCCTCTTTGGGAGTAGGACTAGTGAGAGAGATATGGGGGCACACATGTCACTGACCCACAAACCCACCACAACACACACTCCACCAAATACTTCCATCCATTAGTGCTCCTCAAATACACCTCAGCATCTTTGGAGTGTGCGGCTCTCAGAGGGCAGGGGCTGCATTCCAAGGAAGGGTGGGATCCCAGGTAGTAAATGAAGTATTACCACAGTAGACTTGCTGGCTGGAATACCTCACCTCCATTGGGAACTGAGCGACAAGGCGAAGAGTTAGCGCTCAGGCGAAGAGTTAGCGCTTGGTCGGCGTAAACCTAGTACAAAGACTTAAAGAGGCTGATTGGTCGATCAGAAGAATGACTGACAGAGGACTTATACGGTCATCCCCGGTGCATTCCCAAGAAACTAGCACTCGCTTGCCGTTTCAGCTACACCAAATTGAACTGCATGTACGTGTTTCCATAGACACAAATTGCAGCATTAGAGCCCCTTGGAGGCCCCTAGTACACTCGATTGCCGACAGCTCTTGGCCCTCGCGGCTCTCTACTGCGGGGAGTTTCCTGGACTCTCGGCATCCGACGTATACGTAGATTGTATATTGGGTTAGGTCATAGAGGCTTCATAAACAGTCTAGTCTGCCAGGCCCCTCAAGTGCACTGAGCTATACAAGTACCATTATCATGCACAGATCCTTGCATGAGTCCACGGTACATGACAAGATGCGTGCTGTCAGGTGACAAGCAGACAACCATGCGCCCAGTGGAGCACTCACTGCCGGCTGTATCCGTTGTCATGAAGAAACGAGAGCCCCTTTGATTCATTTCGAGATAATTGTCCCCGGTATTAGATCGCTAACAACATAAGGCACTCAGCTGAGGAGCTGGCAGTACGCAGCCCAACTGCACACTCCCTCTGGCTCTTTGCACTACTCAACATGATGCAAAGATTTGCACTAACTCGAAGAAGCATGCCAGAAATGATACCATACCAAGCCGGTGATTCTGTCATTTGATTGTTCTCTGCAAGGTTCAGCCATACAGCCGCATGGTACCCTAAACACACTCACCACCTCTTGTCACATTACTCAACATCATCAACACGTGACCTCAAACAAATAGATATTGCCGGGTTCTCGTCTCTCTTTATAAGTTCTTATAAAGTACCAGATTTTCTTGTAAGCTCCAAGAAAAATAGCAATGATACAACGAAAATTAAAAGGAGAAAAAGTAGTAGAAGTAAAACACTCAAAATATCACGAAATGACAATGAATATATCTTAGGTTGAGATAGTCGTTCGTGGAACCGTTCATGGAGTAGGGAACCGTTCATGGAGTAGGAGCATGTTTTGTTGGGGAAGTTTGGAGCAAAATCTGAGCAAAACACATTTTGACTCATTGAACTGTAGTTTCCATTGGAGACTCCAAGAAGAGAGGCGTTGAAGAACGAAAGAGAGCAGCAGTCAGATAAGGAAGATGTTTTATGAAGATCGAATCGGTCCGTGTTCTTTTGAAGTGAATGTGGGTGTTTTCTTTAAAAATCACCTTGAAACCTGCTAGATCAGCAAATATTACCACTAGCTCATCTCCCCTGTGTCCAATGTCTCCCACCACCGAAAAAATGACAAGACCACCAACACATGACCAAGAATTATTCACGCTCTAATCGTATTACCCTGTAGGGTAAAGTTGCCATGACATTGCTCCGGAATTCATTCCCTAAGGCCGTTCCCTTGGTGAAAAAACGCCACGCTCCATCGGTTCAGCAATGCTAATGCAATCAACGAGGCAGGAATCTTGATCTGGGAAAGCAGCCGCCTTTTGTGTGTGGCCAATGCCCACTCCATCACACCACTGTAAAAAGCATGACATATAATACTGCGACACGA